TGGGCTAATAAGAACTCTTATCAGCCGAACATCACTCTAACATTCTAACAATATTTTTCTAGAAAAAATTTCAATCATAATATCCAAAGCGAAATCCTTGAGGTTCATGATTTGGATTATGAATCATATTGGAATCTTAAGATTTTAACAACAAAGATCCTAGGTCATTACCTTGAGGGTTCTTTATCTGGTAATGCTACTACGTGCATCACATGTAAGAATTGATATAAAAAGATGATATATTCTTGAAAACAATGTGATGCCTAGATTGTTTAATTTAATATTGTAAAGTTCTTTATCACTAAAAGGTGGCAAAGCACTCAAACATCTATTCATAGTTGTCATTGCTGGCAATAGTTGAGATTTATTGACATGAATGGTCATCCYCCAAATGTCTTATTCTTGTAAAACCTTCATGACATTTCATTTATTGTAGATAAGGGAAGTAAACCCAACCATAACCATACAAAAGATTTCTGGAGTGCCACACGTAAATTGATTGCAACTTTGGGTAGGGCTTCTGTATCAGTGCAATATTTGTCTCAACAAGGTCAATAAGTGCAATGCATGTAACCTGAAGACCTGCAGATGCATTTTACCTGTTTCCAGCTTACATGGATGCTGACTTCTTATGGAATTTATATCTTCAGTATGGGACTGGTCCATACAGAAAGAAATTCTCATTTTCTAGTCTAGATTCAGGGTTTCTCATCATGAATTTCCCCTTTTCAAATAGAACTTGGTAATTCTCTTGTTTTTGCTACAAATTCATTACGAAAGAATTTAATTTTGGGATAGGTTGTTGCAATGATACTTCTGGATCTTCCTGGACTTCTGTTTTTCTCAACATACACATTACTTGTGTTGTTTTGGGCAGAGATATATCATCAGGTGCTTTATTCTGTTTCTCATATTGTGTCACTTTTGTGCTTCCTACCTTCACCATGGAAAGGCTGATATTGTTAGAGTGGTTTGTGATATTTTGATTACAGGCAAGAAACCTTCCTATAAATAAACTTAGACCTGCTTATTTTATTGCCAATGGAATTATATACTTCATACAGGTATGGAATGAAAATATCAATTTATGGACTTGAAATAAAGCCAAAATACTTCTGATATATTACTAAATATTGATTAATTTAATCACTTGTGGAACTGTATTATGGTGATAGGTAAGCATCTGGGTATATGCAAGATTAAGCCAGAAGCTCATTGCAGTGAAACTCGCGAAACTCTTTGTTTCAGGTCATTGTTGTTGGTTTTTATTTTCTTTTTTTTCCCTCCTGTTTCAAGTCCATTGCTGCTAAAGTTCTTTTTTATATTAGTATTACTATAACTTTTCTTTTGGGTGGATAGGCTGGACAGTTTATACATGCAATGGAATGATAACCTTACATTTTGTTAACAAACATACTTAGTTTGGTAATGCGGTAAACTGTATTAATAGACACTTTTCCAGTGAAACATAAATAGTAATATGTTAGAAGTTAGTTTAGTTCATGTGAAGATAGTGTTGATCTGGTGAGTTGTCTATGTTGCAGTTATTTCATTCTTTGCTGCTCTTGGATTCTTGATATATGGTGGAAGGTAATGAACAATTCTATCTTTTTTGTCAAAGTTAAACAAAAAATGGATATTCCTATATGAACTTTCTTTTTTCATATCTTAACATGTTTGTTACTTCTTTAGATATATTATATTATTTTTTGTTTCCTTATGGCATTTTTAGGTTGTTTGTCATGCTGAGACGCTTCCCAATTGAATCTAAAGGACGTCAAAAAAAGCTAAATGAGGTATGTATGTTGGGTGGTTGTTTTGAATATCACATTCCATTATCCTGAATGTACAGAAAAAGAAAGAACTATATTTTGTGTTTGTTTTTTCAAATTCAAAATATTTGGTTTTCTTTTGTGCTCACTTTTGTGGATATGGTAGTTCAACATAGACGGGACAAGCCTTTTTCTTATAGTTCCTTTCTGTTCTGGGCGTAATTATTTTTAGTGTTACTATTTTCCTTAATGTTCTCTTGAAATTTTCTTTTATGAGGTATTTTAATCTATCTGCTTGCCCCAAACTTTCTATTAAGATGATTGATAGGAAATTTTAGAGATGAGGAGAGAGACTGTCATATGGTTTTCGTTGATTTAGAGAAAGCATATGATAGAGTTCCTAGAGACATAATATGGTGAGTTTGGAAAATAAAAGAGCTCCAAGTAGGTATGTAGAGCTAATTAAGGATATGTATGAAGGTGCAAAAATTAATGTTAGAACACCTGTGCGAGAGACATCATATCTTGCAGTTACAATGAGTCTCCACTAAGGGGCAACACTTTTTTTTTGATATCTTCTGAAGGGTTACACAATGGGGGGTAGCCCATCCCCGAACCCATAACCCCCCCATCCCAGGTGCAGGCGGGATTTGATCCCAAGTCTCCACTACGACCAGCAGGAGACCTTACCAACCATCTGGTTGGCACCTTGCAGATGAATTGACTAAATATATTTAAGAGGTCTTGGTGTTACATGTTTATTGATGACATTGTATTAATTGATGAAATTAGTGGAGGATTAAATGCAAAATTAAGTTCTTGGACAATGATAGGCCCCCAATTAACTTTACGTATGCCAGGAAGGGGAAAGGTCAGCTTTCGGTTAAGGGGGGAAATAATTGAACATGGGGGTAATTATAGCTGAAGGGAGTAGGGAGAGTCTTGAGGCATTTTCAGTTAGGAATAAGAAGAGTATGGGCATTTATAACTTGGCCAGCTGGGCATTTATTAAGGGAGTCAGTTATTCTGTGAGAGGAGTGTAAGAAGGGGCTTTGGGGGATGGGGGAGACAGGCTTTGGATGAGTGAAGAACACTGTGAATGATTGGGAGAGGGCGGTCTCTCGAAGAACCGACCAACTGTTACTGTTCTTCCTTTCTTCTGAATGAATACCAGTTTCTTTGTTGATATTCGAGTTGTGTGAATTCTGCTGCAAGTCTGAGAATTGTGTGTAAAGTTTCTGGGACCTAACAGACAAGTACATTAGACACGAGGTTATAAATAAGTAGGAACAAAACAAAAATATATGCAATGTAAATTTAATAATAATARGAGTTCAAATTGGTATATACTTAGGATTGGAGACCAAGAGATAACTCAATGTGACCTCCTCTGTTACCTTGGTTCAATAATTCAAAACAGATGGGAAACTGAAGAGGATGTTGCTCATAGAATTAAAGCAGGATGGGCAAAATGGAGGGGTGCTTCCGGAATCTTGTGTGATAGGCAAATACCACTCCGGCAAAAAGGAAACTTTTGTAGATCAGTTTTAAGACCATCTATGTTGTATGGAGTCGAGTGTTGGGCAGTTAAGAAATAGCATGTCCAAATAATGAATGTGACAAATGTGTATGCTTATTGGTGTTCAATTTTGCTACTCAAATGTAATGATGACGGGGTTATAGGTGCAAATAGTTGGAGGTTGTGACCAAGAACACTGATTGGGTACCCTGATTGGAACAATTTATACTGCACCGTGCCAAGGATTTTGGGCCAGGCTCATTCAATTTTGACAAATCTTCAGCCTGATCCTACCAAATTTCACCATATCTTCTATAATTCCTATAACTGATCTTTTTCTTCATCCTAGGGACATGGCCAGTTTACCAGCCTGATGTGAAGAATGGCTTCTTCCATGATGATTTACCAGAACTATTCATAACAGATCCTATAGAATGTATGGTCTAAAATGATCTCTTGGAGCCTGGTTGAGGTTGAAATGGAGCTGTTAGAATGGTTAGCAGGTTGGAGTAGGTTTAGTTATACTTTATTAATTGAACATTTTGATAAAAAATATTGTATTAATAAAACCTAGTAAATGGGGCATCACGGTTCTTATTGTTTATGTCTATAATGTGGTAATGAAGTAGTTCTGAGTAGTTTAACTGACCAAGGAATACTTATGGAGTTGAAATCAAGCACTCCTCCATCTACTAAACCACATTCTTGATGATGATTTGGCAAGGTAAACAAATCTTTTTTAGCACTCAAAAGAAGTCCTGGATCCTCTGCACAAGATGGGAAATCTCAAAGTGAAACCAGCTCATGTTTGTCAGAACAAAATCATGGACTTCGTGTCAAGATAGGGAACTTCTCTCGGCATGAAATGTACATTGTCTGGTTTGGAATTTAATATTATATGTTGTGTCTTTAGTTTATGCAACCTCCTACCTATGGGTCAATTCAAGAGTTGGCAAAGATTGTTGTTTGATAGGTGTATGTTGGCTGGAGGCATTCAGAGATGTTGACTTTTTGGTTTGATTGTTGATGGATGTTTGACCACGGATGTGTTAAATGTGCTGTTCGCTTTGGCTGAGACCAGGTTTTAGCCCTCGGATGTTGCCACAAATGAAATGTCTCTACATGTAACATGCAGGGCCTGTTTCACATAAAAAATGAGACTAACCGAAGAGAGATTAACATAATTTCAAATAGAATCCCACTCTCTTGGTCATTAATCTCACTTTAATATGAGCTGCATGTGGTGTGGGGCTTCTTCATTGGTGGCGACAGCTCAGGGCTAAAGCCTGGTCATGGAAGAAGTGAACTCCTCCATTTGTTGGTGCCAGTCCTATGATATGTCGACCAAGAAATAATGCACGGTTTCATGGTCTAGTGTAAATTCAATTTCTTAATGTTTTCGGCTTTAAAATTTACTGATGAAGTTTTTCCATCTAATGATGGGTTCTGATCTTGAGCATGCAAAATTTTTTGAGTCGTGGGGCAACAGGCCACAACGGCACAACCACCTATCTCATGTCCCCACTCCCAGACCCAAGCCACTCCTGTATGAATAAGAATAGGTGTGTATCACATCTTGCTATGGAGCCTTTCTATTTGACTGCACTACATCTTGCAGAGGAAGTTCCTGTTCTTTTCTTGGTCGCTTTATTCTTTCTTAATGGTTTACTTTYACCATTGATTCTAGCATTTATTGTTCTTGGATATGTCAGTCTTTTTCGTTGATCATTCTATTACTTGTTTTCTTTGATAAGTATTCTATTACTTGTTCATAGTAAAGTTCAGGTCATGTATCAGTTTCTGAGACTCAGAATAGAAAATATCTCGACCAGCTGGGCTTTTTATTTAATTATGGCACACATTTGTAGAGTATCTGTTCTCCGGAATGTACTTATAGTCGATCTGTACACCAATCAAGATTTAGAATAGGTGTATACCACGTCTTGGTGTCTTTATTCTGAATGATGAATAATGACTGTCAGGAACGCCTGAACTAAGCCTTTTTGAACCATTTTATTCTTGTTGGTAGTATCCAATTCTGATGCTTAAACCCACCTTCCTTGTAGGTTGGTGCTGTAACTGGGATATGCTGCATGTGTTTCTTGATAAGATGCGTTGTGGTAAGTTGGTTCATGGTTTCTACATCTATAATTGAAAGTTCTGTGGAACCAGAAGCTTTTATGAGTTGGTCTTGCAGGTTACTCTATCCGCATTCGACAAAGATGCCGACCTTTTTGTCCTCAGCCATGCTTTTCTAAATTTTGTTTATTACATGGTAATCTGATTTTTCTTCTCTTCAAGATTTGCTTTTATGTGGCTCCTACAAGGGGAGATATTTGCATCATATGGAGGAGAGAAAAGTTTATCTATGGCCTCTACCATGAATGACGACTGTTCATGGAGCACATGCAAGAGATTCATATCTGACTAGGTCCCACCCTGTATATATCTTGTTAAAGAAATGGAAAAAGAAACTATATATAAAGAAATGCACCAGCCGGGAATCAAACCCCATTTAAATTATGCATGGTGGAATTTTGACTCTGGCATCATCATTTTTCATGCTTGATTGTCATCGCTCTCATATTTTCCAGAATGCTTCTTTATTTCTCGTTTGTTTTTTTTTTCTTTTTTCCTCAGTTAGTAGAGATTCTTCCGTGTTCTTTGGTACTCTTCATCCTTCGGAAGCTCCCTCCAAGGCGTATCTCTGATCGATATCATCCCATTCAGTAAAGCTAGCAGTAAACAAAGTCTACTCCTCTTTACAAATCACTGGAGGAAAGTTCCCCATAAAGTTGCTTTGCCATGGTTTTATTTCAATGGTCAGTTTTCTAGAGGCCGTTTCTTCTGTTATTTTATCCTTCTTTCTAGTGAAGCTTTTCTTTGTGAAAGGTAAGGGTTTTGATGCTTTGAGATATTTTTGACGAATAGTGTTTGTTTAATCTCTAAGCAGTATGACTATGACCGATATTGTGGGGCTGGGGCATAAGACGCATTTTGTTGCTGGGATGCCAAAGATATGGCTTACCTGCTGCATGTCTTTATGTAGAGCGGATTGTTTTTTCTGATCATGGAGTTCGGTTCAGTGGGCCATACCTTGATATGGTGCTTCTGAAGGATCGCTCTTCCCATCCGGGCATTGTTTATACTTTTCTCTATCTGCTATTAGCGGTATTGCATGGGTTGCTTTTTAAAAATGTATTTTGAAGAGAAAAAAAATTGAAGTTATAGTGATTCACCAAAGTTTTATATATTTCTAGGGAAAAAAAATGTGTTTTTAATATAAAATCAATAACCAAGTTAAAAAACAATTTCAAAATTGAATCGGCGAAGATAACCAAAGGTTATTGATAAAAAAAATAAAAAAAAGAGAACCAAAGGCTCTGCTTTTTATTGTTGAAGCAAAAGAATTCATGAACCAAATCTATATTAAATTAATAAAAGAATAGAGAAAAACCTAATAAGATGAAAATTGGTTTCTTTATATTTTTATATAAGAAGAAAATTGGAAAGGGCAAATTTAGGTTTTGAGTCTTTTGACATTAGTTTGGGTTATATATATATATATATTTGCTTGGGGAATAAAAAAAAAGTTATTTTATTTTTTTTATATGCATGGGAAAGCTTTATGCTGGAGAGTGGACACCTTTGCTGTGGAAATAGTTAAAACATACTGGGCTTACGATTGTTCAAACAGCTAAATGCACGGCAGCAGATATTTTAGCCAAGAAACTGTAGCGAATTATTGTTCAAACTTCAAACAGCCCCAAACTGAAACTTTAGTCCGGCAGTCCTGCTTCACAGGAAATATCAAAATATGCCATTTAAAGTGATGGGGAATCTCTCAGGCAAGAATAAGAACGTGAAGGAGCTTCCATCACATGATCTGATCCATCCAGCCTACGAGTTTAGCTGTGTGATGAAAGAAAGGTGATAAAGCATTAGACCTTGTACGCATGGATGGTGATAAATATACATGCCTACTCAATAAAAGGCATGGCACTGATATGGGTTTATTACACAATCGCAACTCTCTGGTAACACTTCTCACCTTAATAGAACATCAATTGCTATACAGCAGAGCTATATATGGTACAAAACGAGAAAGGAAAAGGGAAAAAGGAGACTGCCTGTATAAACTGTGCTTCAGATACAGTGGAGAAAAAAAATATGGAGAATATTGTAAGGGGTCGGTCCATCATCATATTATCCAATGGCCTTATGTTGAACGATGGTCTCCAGTTCTCCATATATTAGCTTCTTGCCCTGCTGCACATAAATGTTTTATCAGTTAGTAAGGAGTTAGATATGTTTGAGAAAATCCCATAAACAATATACACAATATGGCACTGGTATGTTTATGATAATTCTCAGATGTTTTACTGAAGAACTACTATACGTACTGAATGATAAAATTGAACAATCTATTCGTTGAAACATGAAAACCAAAATCTAAAAAGCTTTTCTAGATGTTTGGCAGTACTGGGACATATTCATGAATAGTGGAGATCCTTTTAAGTACATGCAGGTAAGAGTTGTGGATATATTTGTCTCGATAGGCTTAGAAAAAACAAAGAGTTGTGGATATATTGGAAACAAATTTCCTATGACTGAAGTAAGATTCCTTGATGATCAGCCCAAAGTCTTAATTAAATACATGCAGTTTAAGCAGTTACATAGAAATGCAGGCATGTTCAAGCAGGTTAATCAGGCATTTATTCTAGTCCAGTTGAACTTTTCAAGGGTTCTTTTGCTTACCCAGTTTGTGAAAGCTGCCTCCAATTCATTACTTGGTGGGACTGGGGATGCCTCTGCAAATAAGATGAAGTGCTTCCAAGTCCATTCTCCTCACCCACAAACTGCTCTGAGTAGCTAGAACCTGGGGGAGACCAAACTGGAACTATGCCCCCATCTCTCCCTCTGCCACTGCTGCTACTAGAAGATTCTGCAGTGGAGTCTTCAGCATTGTGCAGCCGTAGATTAGCATTGAACTGTGGTATTATGTTATTATTTCTAACCATTTGCACATCACCTTGGTTTAATGTCTCTCTCCGAGGTTCCAAATCTAGATTTAAATTTGCTGGCACTTCTGGTCTACCATCCTCAGCAAGGTGTCTGAGATCCACAGAAGAACCTTCGTCCTCTTCAACTCTCATCAATGAAGAAGTTATACTAGGGACCATTTGATCCCCATATCGTCTAATCATAGTAGTTGGGTTGTTCCTAATGGGTTCGTGATCCACCTCCATTTGTATGTCTTGTGGAAAGGCAAATGGAACTGAATCAGAAGAATCCCCAAGTCCTTCCTCAATTCCATTCTCAGCTGCAGCTCTTGAGGCTGCTTCATGCTGCCACATCTCTGAAAGAGCCTCCTGCAACCTGGCTTTTGCTGCATCTATTCCTACAATGGGGAGAGGATAGTTAGAGCCCAGTTCAACCCCAGCAGCTTGAAGTACAAGTTCTGGTGCATCCCATGGGTGGTGTATCCATTCAGTAGGAAGCCTAGCAAGTTCAGGAAGCCACCTTCGTACATATTCACCTTTAGGGTCAAATTTGTAACCTTCAAACTATCAAAGACCAAGAAATTAATGTGAGATTCAGTATAGCGTCCAAATCTCATATCATTCTCACATTTTGCAACACATTTGGCACCAAAACTTAAATAAGTTTAAATCTTTATTAATTGCTAGAGAATCTGCTTCCAAGCATATAAGCATGGATTAAGGAAGAAAAAAAAAGGTAAACACATGGACCAAGAAATTAATGTGAGATTCAGTAGGAAGCCTAGCAAGTTCAGGAAGCCACCTTCGTACATATTCACCTTTAGGATCAAATTTGTAACCTTGAAACTATCAAAGATCAAGAAATTTGCAACACATTTGGCACCAAAACTTAAATGATTTTAAATCTTCATTAATTGCTAGAGAATCTGCTTCCAAGCATATAAGCATGGATTAAGGAAGAAAAAAAAAGTAAACATTTATGATGTCATAATAATAAAATCTTGTTGCAAAGACAAAAGGAGCTAGGTCATTTTCGCTAAAAAAATTGGTTTCCTTTCTTTCTCTCTTTCTTTTTTTCCAACTTTGTTTTCACAAAGCATTCAATCTCTAACATTATTTTGGGTAGTTAGTAAATAGACAAAGCGCACTTGTCCACAAAAAAGGCTTTCCACTTTGGATGGTTATAATCATTCAATTGACTCTTTTGACTGCGAAAACCTCTTTTTAGTAGCCCATCATTTTTCAAGACTGTCCGTGTTTTATACCACATTTAACAATGGAGAACAGCTTTGTATCCTCTACCAGTATTTCCTAATTTTATATATATATATATATAATATGAGCATAAAATATTGGTCTATTATGAAACTAAAAGTTGGAAAACTAGGAAAAATGCAAATAAAGGTAAAGCTAAATACGAGAAATTAAATAATACATTTCATAGAGAGTCGTGCTATTAGAATTATGTGTATTTTTTTAATGCATGTGTATCTCTTTTTGATTCTCCAGAAAGAAAAGAAACAACTACAAAACCAAAAATAGGTAAAAAGGGCGACCAAGATGAACCAGAGTCTTGAATGAAAATTTATTCATAATCATACCTGTGGATTATCTATGCGGTCAAACTCCCGACCATCAGGGAGAGTCCCGGATATATACTGCCAACCAAGAGCGTCACTCTCTAAATCTGCATCCAATAAAGTATCCCAGAAATACTTCATCCCCCATCTCCATGGTAGCTGCAGGACCTTCACAAAAAAGCTGGCTACTACAACTCGTATCCGGTCATGTAGCCAACCAGTAGCCCAAAGTTCTCTCATGCCAGCATCAACCAAAGGATAACCAGTTCGACCTTGTCTCCATGCCTTGAAGTAGTTCTCGTCAATTACCCAAGGAAAAAACTTAAGGTATCCAAGAAGAGGTCTTTCATGACTGTAAGGGTGGTTAAAACTCATGTATCTTGAATACTCCCTAAGGCCAATAGACTTGAGAAACAAGTTGACACTTTCTTCACCTGCTGTGTTTCCTTCATTTGCCCACAGAACCTGTTTGATGCGAACAAGATGGAAGACTTTCCTCACACTTACCTCCCCAAAATGTAAATGGGGTGAGAGAAATGAGGTTGTAGCACTATCAGCCTTTTTGCGGTTCACAGAATACTCAATCAATGGTCCATTGATAAAGTTGGTGAGGGCCTTGTCAGCGCTGCTCCATCCAGGTGACCATGCACGGGCAAGAAGTGCATTGCTTGCCTTCTCTGATTCATCCTCAAATACAAGAGCATCTGAAGGGCACCTTGATACATCACCTGAAAGTATGCAAACCATAGTTGAACGCTTGAATTTAAGCTTTATGCACAAGGAGTGGTTGATCAAATAACTGACTACAATTCCCTTGTAAATGTAACATATATTGATAAAGTATAATACAACGAAATGTAAATACACAAGATGGAATTATTCATTGCATGAGCCACAACTGCAATAAAGTGGATCTAAAATTCTAAAGTACAGCATGATCTTGATACCTGTAAAAAATTGCATGGATTAAGTAACAAAATAGTTTTCAAGATTTTACTGTAATCCTCTTACCAGGGTAGATTATGTAATCCTCTTGTGTTTGTCAGTCTAAAATTTTACCATTGCACCAAACAGTGTCCCCTATTGCAGTTAACAATCTAGTTAGGAAAAGAACCACTGAGATATGATAAATAATGATTCAACGACTCTCTTATCCGAATGATCTCCTCACCTAGAATGCAAAAACCCACGCTACTTGGAAGCTTAAGTATTTGGTAACTTCCTTTTACTAAGATAATAGAACTCTCCTATCTTTTGAAGCATATGAATTGGTCATGAATTCATCAATGCAGTCCAGTCCATCTCTGCCAAGACCCTGCATAGAGGACTTGGTAATGGCCCTTTTACTACTGGGCGTTCTTGCTACACAATTATACTGTTGCCCCTATCCTGCGCTTGACAGCTCCAGAAAGACTAGTTTGTTTTTTTTTTCCTTGTCTTTGTTGTGCTGGTTTCCCATTTACATTTTCTAAGAGAATACATTTTATATCTAGAATACATTGTCATGTGACAGCACAAATGCAGCCTCACAAGTTATAATTCTCAAGAAGCCAAGGAAAAACAAAACTTTTAAATCATTAGGCATACTAAGTAAAACAATGATTGATCTTGAAGAAAACAGACTCAACCAACAGCTCTTAGGCACTAGACGCGCTAGGTACCTCCGTAAAATAGAGAACAAAATAGACTAAGGGGAAACCTTACCTGAAACTATCCTCTTAGGTGGGAGCAGTGGCGCTTCTGGATCATAAGGCATGCTAAGGCATCTGTTCCAGAAAGCCATGAAGGTGGTGAATGGGCGCCCATCCACATCATTAACTTCCCATGGTTCATAGAGCAAATCAGCATTAAAGGAGAGCACAGCTATGCCTTGGGCGGTCAGAACCTCCTTTGCTCTATGGTCCCTTACAAGTGACAAGGGATCTGCAATATAGAGAAGAAATTTCTTAAATTTGAAGTTTTTTTTTTTTTTTTTTGGAATTGCCCAACAAAACAAATTTCCAATTAATTCATGCTTTAATTCTAGAAATAGCATACTGCAAAATCAAGAGTAAATAGGCGACGGGGGTAGCTAAAAGATGGGAACCCACAGAAGACAGAGAGAGAGAGAGAGAGAGAACCAGATCGTAGATAGTTATATACACAAATCTGTACAACGAGAAACAATGAGAAGAAGATGAGCATTATTGAAACCCAAAATTCTAGAAGGCACACATCCTAGACGTATAATAATTCTAGAAATCATGAACAGTAACCGAAGACTCTTCACCGTAAGAAAAAAGGGTATATATATATATATATATAAAGGAGTTGTAGGCGTCATAACAACTACTTGAACACTTTTGACATTAATTGAGAAAATGAAAATATAGTAAAACTAAAACATTAGAATACCAGAAATCAAAAACAAAATTAATTATGCAATCACATAGCACTACAATAAATTAAAACAGAACTAACAGATCAACTTTTTATTATCTACAATGCCTCGGAGAGAATTTGAAAATGAAAAAAAAGGGGGGTTTGAAAGGAGAAAAACATAGGCAGAGAGGAAGAAAAATCTTACCGTAGAGGTGGTTGAAGAAGAGCTGAGTAGCTCCAGTAGACTTGACAATATCTAAGAGAGAAGAGACACTATCAGTAGACCTCTTGGTAACGAGAGAAGTACCGAGACTCTTCAAGGAGGAGTCAAGGTGAGCCAAGCTCTGCTTAAGCCACCACCTCGAGACCCTGCCAGGATAATAATGACCCTCTTCCTCAGGTGCCCATATGAACACTGCAACCACAGCCCCTGCCCTCACAGCAGCAGCAAGAGCAGGGTTGTCCTCAACCCTCAGATCCCTCCTGAACCAAACTATGCTGCAGCCACCACCTGACATCTAATCCAACAGCCAATCCCAGAACACAACTCTGCCTCTCAATGAAATAACATCTTTGTCTCTCTCTCTCTCTCTCTCTCTCTCTCTCCCCTCAGTACTTAATTCTTACCAAGAAAAGAGAGGAAAAGAAACCATTTACATCAGAGCTATTAGTTCATATAGTTGAGAGTTAAGAGAAGGAGAGGGATGAAGGGACTTTTTGAGAAGATTGAATTTGCAGTTATCCTCTGAATTTTTTTTTTCCTGCATAAAGAGAAGTGGCTTTTAGGGGATTACAGGAGTCGTGAAGGCTAAAATGTCACCTCTCAGTATGCGTAGCTTTCATTGAAATTTACCTTTTCTTAGGCGAGAGAGAAAGGCGGGTTTAAGACTGCGAGCAAGCAGAGCGTCTCTTTCACTCTCAAGAGGAGATTAGAGAGGAAATCGATCCCAAATATAAGCGAAGATTGATGGTTGATGGGAGCAAAAAGCAGGGCCATACAAAGTGACGGGCAACTTGTGGCCACACCATTTTTCTACTGCATCTTTTCTTTTTTTGGGTTTTCCCTTCTTTTGCTTTCTTATCCTACGCGACAACACAATCCCCGCTCCGCTCGCCATTGTTACAAGCCTTTCTTCCATCGGAGCTTTCTGAAAAGTGGGTTTAAATTACTGCATCAGCGTTCCGTTTTATTGTATTACAGACCTATAAATATTTAAAATGTCAAAAATCCCCACTTTATACATCAATGCCCATCGTACATCAATTCTGAGGTGGGCACCTACCCAACCGTACTTTGAGCCTAAAAATTCTGACGCTGGCTGAATCATCATTTTCCTTAATTTCTCCCTGTTTGATGGAGGAAACATTAATTTACTCAAAATGCTTTTTTAAAGAATCAAAATTATCTCTTTAAATGAGTATCAATAAATTACAAAGACCCCTTGTGTTATGGAATTAGTAACAATTACCCCCTGAGTTTTTATGAGTTTTCATTTGCAACAAATACCCCTTTTGTTAGAATTCTTATAGTTTTAAAAAATATTTTTATTCAACTGTCTAATTTTTTAAATCGTTAAATCCCCAAATAACCATTTTCCTATTTATTTGAAAGATTTATGATTCAATTAATTTTCTAAATTTAATTTTGAAGTTCTCTCGGTTACTCTAATAGATCTTTGTAGATTTTCTATTGGATTCAATATTTAGATGAAATGGTAAAGGTTTTTTTTTATATATAATGATAATAAATATAAGGTTTTGTTTGGTTTTTCTTGATTTATTGGAAGGAGTGGATAATTTTCATATTCTAAGATGAAGAGAAACATTCATGTTAATGAAATAAAACAAAAATTTAAAGAAACTTATTTTTCTATATTAGTGAAATGATTCTTGTTATTTTAGTTGGTTTTCTTTAGAGAAAATGGAGATATTTTTGGGCCAATTAGGATTTAAGATAAAAGACAAGAAAAAAAGGGTAAATTATAAAGACCCCCTATACTAGGTGGTCAGTGGCAAAGAACCCCTTGAACTTTCACTTTGTGACAAATACCCCCCTCCATTAGAGTTCCATTAGTTAATTAAAAAAAAAAAACTCATTTAAGTGTTTAAAATTGTTTTAATCTTACCATTTCTCTTATTTATTTGAATGATTTATGATACAATTAGTTTTCTAAATATAACATTGAAGCCCTATTGGTTGCTTCAATAGATTCTTGCAGATTTCTAGCTATATTCAATATCCAAATGAAATGGTAGAAGTTTCTTTTTAATAGATATAAATTTATGGTTTTATTTGGTTTTTCTTGAATTATTGTAGAAAGGAGTAGATTTTTATATCTTAAGATGAAGAAAGACATTCATGTGAGTGAAATGAATATGAATTTAGAAAAGCTTTATTTTCTATGCCAGTGAAATGATTCTTGTAATTTAAGATGGTTTCATTTGGCAAAAGTGGAGCTATTTTTGGTCAATTAKGGTTTAAGAGATAAGGGCAAAAGAAAATAGGGAAAGTTTAGATGACTATTTTGGTAATTTAATGTATTCTATCATCTAACTTAATGGTCAGGGGGTATTTGTTAGGGGGTCTTTGTTGCAAGCAAAAGTTTAGGAGGTATTTGTCATTGACCCCATAATATAAGGGGCTTTTTGTAATTTACCCAAAAGAAAATGAATTCACATTTGCACCCCAAAAGCACCCCACAGCACATTTCAACCGTGTATTTGGAGCATCTTCCAATGACAAGTATGGGGGATGTTCCTAATGCATGCTCAGATGTGCTGTGGGGTGTTTTTGGGGCACACTAAGTGAGGTGCAGATGTGAATTCAAAGAAAATAAAAAAAAGTTCGTATAGGTATTTTGGTACAAGATATTTATTCTTGACCCCATAATATAAGGTTTTTTTTTATAATTTATCCAAAAAAAATTAAAAAAAAAGTTTATATAGGTATTTTGGTATGGGGTATTTGTTGCAAAAGTGAAACTTCAAGGGAGTTTTACTGCAAATGAAAATTCAGAGGATAATTATCATTAAGGGTGTCAATGGACCGGTTTTGGATTGGACCCCGTCTATTYCAAAATCAATTTGGACGGACCAACAAGATATATTGGATTGGACCAATCCAGTCCAAAAAATTTATTAGATTGGATTGGACCTGGCCCGTCCATACCAAATTTATATTGAATTGGGTTGGATTAAGCCAATATCTAATCCATTGATATAAGATAAGAATATATGTATGAATTGAGGGGGGGGGGGGTATTTGTAATTTATAATTTACCCAAAACAGATGAACACATAAAAATCTTTTTCCAGATTGAGTGATAGGAATACTAAGGGATAAGATGTTGAAACATAATTACATAAATATTCAGGGGGGGCTTTGTCACGAATGAAAGTTCGGGGGTCTAAATATTACTACTCCCGAAGTACATGGCAGTAGCCTGTAATTTACTCTAATTCTTTATTTTGCATTTGCACTCGCACATATAAAAAACGCCCAACTGCCAAGTATAGACAAACGAACCGTTTTTATCTTATTTAGATGCCTTAGGAATAACCATACACCACAAAAATCCGTCCTCCGCAACATTTTATTCGTTAATGCCTCATTCACCATCTCACACCACACACACATCTTAAACATTTGTAGGGACCAAAACCTACGATAAATTGTGGGACCCACCCAGCTGAGCAATTTACATAATTACTTAAGACTTTGGTATTTTGAGATGAAAATCTAATTATTTTATCAATATTTTTAGTGATTTATTTATATTGTTAATTACAGTTATTTATCCCTATTCCAAACTTTGGAAAGAAAAATGGTCAAAACCTCCAAATTTTGATCAAAATCATTATGTTAAATAATTTCATGTATCATGTCAGAGGCCCTACACTAAGCTGAAAATTTACGGGCACAGAAAAGCACTTATGCCATGTATTGCCTACAATTACAAATGCATCTTTTCACCACTCATCTGGCATGCTGTCTCTTGGATCTATCTCAACTCAACTTATAGATGTGGGACCTACTGAACTGGCATAATGTATCACGTCTTGTGGGCAGTAGATTCGGAGTCCATTTATAAAAAACGCAAAGTTGGTTTAGTTATCATAGTTATAAACACAAATTTTGAGATAGATATATATATATATATATTTTTTAAATTGATAAACTTTAAGTACAAGATGTGCATTCATTTTCAAGAATGCAACTACTTTAGGCTCAGTTTGGAAGGAGTATAAATACAAATATGTACAGTGCAAATATATATAAAATAGTACAAAATACAAGGTTTTGCACTTTACATATTTGTATTTGTACTTCTTCCAAACTGAGTCTTTTAGTGCAACATATAATTGCATCCTTGCCAAATACTAGCAAACAGAATTAGCGTGTATACATGCACTGAATCAACATTTACATTCTTCCAAAAAGGAGCAAATACAGATATGCACAAAATGCATTTACACACTTTGAAAGCAAAGCCTTATGCTCAGTTTGGAAGGAGTACAAATACAAATACGTACAAAATAATATAAAATACAAGGTGTTGCGCTCTACCTATTTGTATTTGTGCTCCTTCCAAATGGAGCCTTAGGCTCAATTTGCTCCCACTGCATATCTGAACTAGGTAAAAATTTCCCACCAGGTTCATATCTGCAATTTTTCATTTATTATTATAACTCTAAAGACTTCTTTCATCATCAAGTAACTGCTTACCTTCTTTTGGATTCGAGGGCCCAGCCCAAAATAGTGTAAATTGCTGATTTGATTTGCAATTTAGCACCCCCATCTGAGTGCAACATTAAGAACACTCATTCCCTTGTTTTGGGATTGACCTTTTACATAGTAGTAAGGTTCAAAGTATCGAAAACGTAAGATGTATCGGAAAGGTAATTTTAAGAGATGTATCGAGATACGTTTTGGAATCGCATAGATACAGATGAAAAATCAAGATATGCATGAATACGCTAGAAAATCCAAAAAAATCCTTAAAAAATATGAAAAACAATAAAAATGAGTTTTCTATGATTATAACTAATTTATTTAAACATAAAAACCATTCTTTAATAATTTATATAAAGTATCGGRATATAATTAGTAATCGTTGAACAATAATAGAAGAATTAAAATGTATGTTTGTGTATATATACTACTATTTATTAGTTAATATTTTTTGAAGCCATTTATTAGTTAATATTTATTATATAGATTTAGATAATATTTATTATGTACACAAGTTAATATATACCTTAATTTTTAATAAATAAATATAATTTGTATTCATCTTATTATTATATAAATTTTAATAATCAAATTTTAGCATTTTGTTGGGAAACATCCACCAAGGCAAGAAAGATTACTTTTTTATTTTTTGTATTAACACAACACACTTAACTCTTTAACGTAAGTGGAAATCGCGGGACTTGAATCCACGTCTTTGCTAGGACTACCTAGCTAACATGCCAACTGACCCACCATTGAGTTGGCAAGAAAGAAAGAATACTTCAAGTATAAAAAACATGTTATTATGATAAGCGATTAAAGTTGGCATAGTGGTTAATTAATTATTATTATTATTGTAAGCAAAAGAGTAGGGTTTGAAACTTGTTACATTTGATTTATGATTTTTGACAAATTATTTGACTTAAATAACATTTAATGACGTATTAAATTCTTTAATTAAAGGTAACTCAAATGAACATTTAATTAAATAATAATAACATTTAATGATGTCTCAAATTTAAAGGCTTAATTAAAATTGATATTAATGAGAGAGAGAAGAGATGAATTAAATTTAAATTTGAATTTAAAAAAGAGAGAGACATTAAATTCGGCTGATATATAATACGTATCGGCCTGTTTTGGGCTTGTATCAATGATACAGACGTAAATTTACGAAACTATCTAATTGTATATGTTCCATGTATTGGAACTCTTCTGAAATGATATGTATCGGCCAATACGTTGCAAAATTTTAAGCCTTGAATAGGAGTGGGTGCTAATAACCACCCTTCGATGGGTATACTTTTGTTAACATTTTAAAAATCGGATCGGACATGGAACCGTTCTGGGGACCGGTTCCTGGATCGAACGGTCCGACCATCCGGTTTGAATGAACGGTCCATTATGACCTAAAAAATAA